AATGTTCTACAAAGTTTTAAATTTTGATTTATTGATTGCATTTGTTTAGATAGTAGGCTATATTTTCATAAAAAATTAATAAATATTTTTTAAACAAAGAAATATTTTAAACTTTAAAGGAACTAAAAAATAATTAACATGGAATGAAGTTCAGAAAAAGTTAAAATAATCGGCTAAAAGTCGCCAAAAACGGCCGATGCCGATTCTTTTGGCCGATACTAGCCGATGCCGGTGCCGATTAATCGGTCTGACTCTATGAACAAACGACGAACTAACGACGAACAAACGATTTATCACAGTTAACAATTCTTAAGCCCAAAATACAATAGCGCTTGGGCAGTGGCAGTGACAGTGCTTAAAATCAGATGTTACTGCTAATATTGGCAGTCACTGCCGCACAATAAACACAATAGGGCGTTGACAATGACTGCTTTTTTTGACATTCCCTTTTGTTTGTTTACATTTTTGTTGTTGCCTTTTAGGCTTCAGTGACATAAACAGAAGTTTGCTGCGTTTAATTTATGTCAAATGCGAAGTTTGCTGCGATGGAGGCAGTGGCAGTGAATTTAGAAATTGGGCTAAACTGAGCAGTACTGCCAGCTGCCACTGGTGTATTGTGAGTCGCTTCATTGGACAAACAGCTGATTTCGAAAAACTGCCACTGCCACTGCGTTATTGTATTTTGGGCTTTACACCTGAGGTGCTATTGGGCCTGCATTCAGTGTTAGTTCCTCATTTGCCTTTGGTTCCCTATACCTCTCATACGATGATGAAGCGAAAGGTGTTGTTGATCTGAAGACTTCCTCAAGAACTGACATCGATGGAGTATCCGCACTTTAATTGAAAAACTGTCCAGCACTGATCCTTCCATTAAAAATTATCTTTAACAAGCCTCTTTCTACTGGCCTCTATAACTCCAATTTTCAAAAGCGGAAACAAAAACAAAATTAGTAACTATAGACCGATTTCTAAACTGTCTACCGGTGTCTAAACTGTTCGAATGCATCGTTAAGGATAAAATGTATTTCTCGGTTAAGAGCCTTATTTGCCCAAACCAACATGGTTTTGTGCCTGGGCGCTCCACGGTCTCAAACCTTGCGGTCTTTAGTGAATCTTGTATTTCGCCTTTTTCTAATGCATCTCAGGTGGATTGTATCTACACAGACTTTTCGAAAGCTTTCGACAAGGTGTCGCATAGAATTTTAGGTGCGAAACTAGAACGCCTAGGTTTCCATTCTGTCTTTTTAAACTGGCTTAAGTTGTATTTGTGTTGCAGGCGATGTGTTGTTACGGTAGACCATTTTTCGTCTTTTTGTTTTGTTTATAAATGACATTAGTTCATGCTTCTCTTTTTCAAATTATCTGTTATACGTCGACGATTTGAAAATATTTTCGAATATAAGGAGCACTGCCGACATGCTCACACTTCACACAGAACTTGGCAACCTGCACGCTTGGTGCCTCCAATTGCGCTTTTCTCTTAATGTCAATAAATGTTTTCATGTTTCTTTCTCTAAGACCCCAAATGTGTTTGTTACCTCGTATCGTATCTCAGGCAGCACGCTGCAGCTTGTCAGAGAAATAACGGACCGTGATGTTATATTTGTATCTGGAGTATGCTGCTTTTATCTGGCGTCCGTCTCATCAAATGAAGATTGACAGGATCGAGCGTGTTCAGAAGGTGTTCCTTAAATACGCTTTACGCTCCTTACGTTTGACCCGATTCCTTACTTTAGTGATCTCTCATTGCTGATTAGTTTAAAATCGTTGGAAAAAAGGAGGTCTGTCCTTTTCCTAACTTTTGTGTTGGGCATTATTCAAGGAACTGTTTACTGTCCTGACCTCTTGAAACGTATTCACTTTAATGTTCCGCATAGATCCCTTCGGTTCTGCTATACGTTTTATGGTAGTAATTGTAAAACGAACTATGCTCGGAATGCGCCCCTCTGTCTAGCTGCTAATGAATTCAATATAATCTCTAATTCTATCGATATCGATTTTTCGCTACCAAAGTCATCATTTGTAAATTAATAAGTAATTTTAAACACCAAGTACCTAAATTAAGCAGTTAAATTAAACACTTTTTAACCTTGCCATAGTGTGTAAGAATTTATTGTTCATAGACTTTAAAGATAAATAAATGTAGGAGTTGTGAAATGTAAAAATTTAATTATAAAAGTTTGGCTGAGGAACAAATGTGGAGAATGGATGAACAATCGACGAGCTATCGATTGCAATAATAATTAACCAAAAAAAAATCTGTTGCAGGTGCTAGATACAGAAAACACGCACGAGTAAAAAGTATAGTACCGAGCGTTTTTGACATCTGCCTAAAGGCCTGTATGCAGCTCAAGAAAAGCAAAAAATCCATATAAAATGACGTACAAGAAATGGCTAAGAAATTTTCTTGAGTCAAATTTCCTTAAGGCAGTACGCAGTTCTTCAGAAATTTAGTACGCTTTCTACTACGGTTTTCTAAAGTTTTTTGTGAAAAAAGAGCACAAGGCAACCCAGGTTTGCAACAGAAATATATGCCCGTTCCATTATTTCTTGAGGAAAGAGTGAGGCAACAGGCTGTGCGTTATCAAAAATGTCAAAATTCCTTGGACACACACGCGAAATAATGGCCATTTTTTCTTGACCGTTTTCTTAAGAGCTGGATACTAAGCTTAAGGCAGTACGCAGTTCTTAAGAAATTTACTATGATTTCTACTACGGTTTTCTAAAGTTTTTTGTGAAAAAAGAGCGCAAGGCACCCAGGTTTGCAACAGAAATATATGACCGTGCCATTATTTCTTGAGGAAAGAGTGAGGCAACAGGCTGTGAAGTATGAAAAATGTCAAAATTCTTTGGACACACACACGAACTAATGGCAATTTTTTCTTGACCGTTTTCTTGAGAGCTGCATACAGGGCTTAAGAATGAAAATAAACAAAGAAAACGAAAAAGGCGCGGTGATTGAGTACGATTAAATTGGCATTTATTATAAAATATACAAATTGAAACTTAGTGACAATTAGCAAAAAAAGTTCATAAAATATGGTTTTCATGATTGAAAGTGTTTTACAATCGCATATCATTACCACGGGTCGATTTTTCAAGTCAACGTTCTGGCCACAAACGTGCACGCACTTTTCACGCAAATTTACGCTTATTGGCAAACCAAGCATACGCACAAACTTGTTCCGATCACACAACACTTCATTTTATGTCATAAATATGTGATAAATCAAAATTTATAATTAAAATCGCTGCAGAAAACACTTTGGCGCATATTCATAGTCATATTTAGTACTCAACTAAGTCGAAACTATTCTAATTCACAACTAAAGCTATTCATAGTCGCCTTAGTTTCGACTTTTCTGGCTAAGCACCAACTTAAAATTTAGTTTCGGCTGCAGCTGCAACTATGTCGTAACTAGGAAGAAGTATTTTATCAAATTAAGGGAAAACAGATGAAATATGTAAAAATTAAGTTGGTAGAGGGTGATTTTGATAATATTAGGTTCATTCCTTATCTTTTTGGGCTAAAATCTGAAAAGTGTCAAAATGCCAGAGCGTAAGCGAAATGCGCTCACTAAAAGACAATAACAGGAAAAGAAAAGGAACGCAAAAAACCAAATTTTTAGTCCAAAGAATGGCAACAACAAAGCTAACGTCAAATAAGAATGGAAATGTATGTACAAAACACATTCACACAAGCACAAGCACAATAAACACTTACTATATCAATTATTTTTTGCCTCCTTCCAATTTCAATTCACTTCCTTTTTTTAGATTATTCTCACTTCTTGCGTATTCTTTAATTTCCGTTAATTTAAATTTAGTTGAGTTTGACACTTTTCAAGATTTTGCCAGAAAAAATTCTTCTGACTAAATCTGACTACTTCGGACTGATGAGAGTCACTCTCACTGGGTGTTGCTCTCTCATTTTAGCTGTCATTTCCGAGTTAAAGAACGCTTTTTGGACTAAATCTGACTAGTTCGGACTTTTTCTGACTATTTCTGGGAGATAAGGAACGCTCCTTTTGAATAATCTCCAATTAAAATTTACAAAGATCGATCCATTTTAATCGGAAGATGAAATTAAATGCGTATTACAATTCGAATAAAGCTACATCACAGTTTTATAATTGGAATAATTTAGATAAACCCTCAAATAATAAGTCAGTTTCACGCTAGTTCTTTTAAAGTAAATTTGTGCATAACATTTAGATACCTACTATTTGTATGTTTCACAGCATGCTTTCGATAAACATCGACTTCACATCACTGCGGTTGTTCTGGCTATTTCACACAATTAACAAGAAAATGATACCTCATTCTTTTGCTTAATCATGCAATGAAAATACAAATTAAAAAGCGGATGATCAAACTTGACGTTATTTAATAAAAATGTAATTTTTCCAAAATATCGTAAAGAAAAATCGAGACATTTTCACACTTGTTTTGCCATATCGTAAATTAAGTCGAAACTACTTAGTATAAGTCTGAAATGCGACTATGAATAGAGGTAAATTTTAAGTTGGTACTTAAATTTAAGTTGCAACTTTGTTAGTTTCGACTTAGTTGCTGGACTATGAATACGCGCCATTGAATCGCTAAAAAATCGCTACGAAGAGGTAGAAGACAGTGTAAACAAACCCGAAAAACGTAAAAAACGCTACGTAAACTTATATCTGAAAATCGATTACAAATACAACGCTGGCTGATTAGGTGATCTGTAGTCATTGGGCACGTTCAGAAGGCGCAACAGCTCAGTAACTGTTGCGGTTGCACTTTCTGAACGCGTTGTTTTGTACTTCTGATCAACTGAACAGTTGCGTGTTAGATAATCCTAATATTATTCTGATCATTTGAGACAACGTGTTGTGTTTTGAATTTGACAGCTAATGTATCAAGCCGTTCAGAAGACGCATTACGATCATTGATTTTTCTAACAACGGTTGCGCTCAACTTCTGCACCTTCTGAACCTACCCATTGGTTCATGGGTACGGCACACTGAATACATAACTTTCTGGCAGCCTAGTGGAAATGCAACTCTGGAGATTTCGGTGCAAAAATTTTTGGTTCATTTGGTGTGGCAGCACTATTTCTTAAAAAGCGGTGTGTTTGACGTTTTCATCACTAAACACGAAAAATTTTCCGTACCTTAATCGTTTATATTTTCTGCTGTATTTGTTTAAGTAATTTAGCAGCAATGGTAAGTTGTATATTATTTATAGCTGCTCCTATAACTGTAACTATTTATGTACTTTCAGACGATTGGTAAAAACAACAAAATGATCCAGCACCTCAACTATAGAGTGCGGATCATGCTGCAAGACTCCCGCACTTTCATAGGCACTTTTAAAGCATTTGACAAACACATGAATTTAATATTGGGCGATTGTGAAGAATTTCGTAAAATACGTTCGAAGAACTCCAAAGTACCAGAACGTGAGGAAAAACGAGTTTTGGGTTTTGTGTTATTGCGTGGTGATAACATAGTCTCACTCACCGTCGAAGGTCCACCACCACCAGAGGAAGGTTTGCCGCGTGTACCGATGCCCGGAGCAGTTGCGGGTCCTGGTCTGGGTCGTGCTGCTGGTCGTGGTGTACCAGTTAATATTGCTTCTGCGCCTGCTGGCTTACAAGGTCCAGTAAGAGGTGTAGGTGGACCGGCCCAACAACATATGACGCCAATGGGTAGAGGTGTGCCGCGAAATCCAATGATTGGTGCACCACTTCCTGGAATGGTGCCCGGCGTAATGCCACCAATGCCTGGTGGAATGGGACGTGGTGGTCCACCAATGCGGGGACCGCCACCCGGTATGATGCGTGGTCCACCACCGGGACGGGGAGGTTATTAAACAGGTTGCATACGATGCAATGTATTTTAAAATTTTCCAATAAAGTCTAATTTACTTAAATATATGTATTCAATGAAAAATAGTTTTGTTTTACTTGGAACCGGTAGTAGGGGGAAATTACTGCTGTCCAATAACAAAAAGTTTCCAAAAATATTCGGAATTGTTCCAGAGTAGTTCAAAAGCGTTGACCCGTTACTTTTTGTCGATTTTAGATTTAGTTGATATAGTTATGTCTGTAAATAAAAAAAAATATAAATTTCTTCGTATTTTGCAGCCAAACCCTCTGGGTGCGGAGTTTGGTGGTGCTGGACGCACCTTTACGACATCGCTCACATTGGGCCAAGCCGTGGCCAGGGTACAGAGGCATATCGGACTTAATGTGCATTTAGCTTTGGGTGTCAATCACGACTTGGATACACCCATTACAGTGGTGGCTGTTTGCGCTGGCTCTGGAGGCTCGTTGCTCAAAGGTTACGAGGCAGATTTATTTATAACAGGAGAAATGTCCCATCATGAAGTTCTGGATGCAAATCATCAAAACACTTCAGTGATTTTATGCAATCACAGCAACTCTGAACGTGGCTTTCTACATAAATTTCAGAATAAACTTGACGATATGCTCAACGGCGACTGTGAAATCATAATCTCTGAGAAGGACGAAGATCCTTTGAAGACTCAAGTTAAAAGCTAAACTTTTGCACTTGTTATTGGTATTTTCCTTTAAATTTTTGTAAAAATTGTAAGCAAAATACTTTATTGCATTAAAAATTTGTTTAAATTGCATTTTTTTTTAATCGACAGCTTTAATGTAGCTGCAGCTAAAAGTCTACTGTCATCCAGTAATTTTTTTAAATAAATTTTTTATTATAATTAGTATGCGGTTTTTTTTAATGAATGTATGGGTTTTTGGTAATTTACTATTCAAACATGAGTAATTAAATTCCTGTTCTATCGGTTGAAAGTTGTCATTTGATGGGATGGGTTGAAAGTTGTTTATTCAAGTATGGTAATAAAAAATTATTAAAATGTTCATCAATTTTTCATTTATTCAAATAACTAAGTTTTCAGCATTTTTTTTTTTAATTAAAAAAAAATTAATTTAATAATTTTTTCAATGTATCCGCATTAGTAGGAAATCCATATTTTACTAGGCGCCGCAAGAATGTATGGATATCAAACAAATGCTAATGTTATCAACAGTAATATTATCCTTTCTTGATGATATTAGCATTGCAAATGTAAATGGATGTCGAACTTCCAGAAAATTAAGTTCGCTGAATGTCGAAGGATTATTAAAAGTGATAAAACAAATTAAACCGAGCGCGTAAAGGGAATATCGATTCACGTACTTTGTATGAAAATATAAGAATTTGAGTAGAATAATGCTATCCGACGTTTACTTGTAACTCATTGTTTTAATAGTTTTACATTCGCTACAAAAATTACAAACGAAATAAAATTGGGTTTATTAAAAATATTACATTTTTTTATCTTTTTAGTACATATAGCAACAGTAGAAATGTTTGATGCTACTCAATTACCATTGCATATAATGGGATAGCAGTAATAAAATTTTTACAGCGTAAAGAACATTTAAAATGACTTAGAAAGAATTTAAATGCATTTATATATTCTCTTCTATACAAAGCGTAATGTAACTATTTGTATCTATAGCAAGTCATTAAAATCGAATGTGAACAATTTTTAAGTAGAAAAAATCATATATCGGAGCTCTTAAGTTAGAAGCGTGAATAATCTTTTTATAACGGCGGTTAATATAAACTGTTCGAAAATTATTATAGTTAACAGTACTGTCTTGTCATTTTTAACTTAAATATACATACATACATACATACATATCGTCGTTTAAAGTACAAAACCGCGTATCGTCATTCTGCAAAACCGCGTAACTGACACTGGCTGCCGAAAATTGGATTTGCTCACACGAGCTCTTGGCTCAATCCTTATCCATTCGCCTTGAAATATACTAGCCAGAAATGCGATTTCTTTATAAAAAGGAGAACCATTTTGAAATATGAGTGTTTTTACTCTCTAAAAAATAATTTATGCAACCTCACATACGCGGTTTTGTACTTTAAACGACGATATATGTTGTATTGCAAGCTATAAAAACACAATACAAAAGGTAGGTTTTAACTTGAATGTTAATAGTATTTTTTGGCCTTTCCTACTACTGTGTGCTCTTCGTAAGTTTCTGTAATACTTTGAGACCTTGTTCCTGATACTCTTGCTTCGACATCCAAAAAGCATCGCGATCTTTTGTCACTTCAGCTAAAACAGCACCACCAATGAAAACCATATCTTTTCGTCGTGGTGGATCCTCAATGCGAATTTTGAATTTCTGCAATTTGTAGGTGTATGGATTTTTTAGAAAAAAAGTTTATAGCGTTTGCTTGTGAAACTTACCGCTAACTTATCGATGTCGTTCTTGAGCACACGTTCTAAATATAATTGTTTTATTTCGCGTTCTAATCGACTAGGAAGACCTGGATACATGGTTGAGCCACCAGATAGAACGATATGCTTATACAATTCCGGGCGCATATCAATATCGGCCGCCTGTATTGTGTTAAACACTAGCTCGGCTATGCCTTGACCTTCAACATTGATTAAATGTGGTTGGAATAACGCCTCAGGTGCTTCAAAACGTTCGCCGCCCACCTTTATCACGCGGCCATCGGGTAACTGTAGAAAATAAAGCAGGAATGAGTAAACATATTTTTGCGGAGCTATAGCATACATTTACACACCGTATATGACTCAACAAGCACAGTAGTTTCCAGCGCAAGTCGCTGTTCCATCTCGATGTCATAGCCAATGTAGCAGAGTTTCTCCTTCATCATGCGGACAGTTTCAAAATCAGCGGAATGATTGAACGCGTAACCACGTAAAAGTAAAAGCTATAAGAATAGTATATCAAGCAATTTTATATTTGCTTGGAACAGTTTTTGAAGTCACTTACCTTAATCAGATATCGTGTGATATCACGGCCGGCAATGTCTAAACGTCTGGTTAAATGAGGCAGCGCAAATTCTTCGTACACAGGACAAATGTGCGTAACACCATCGCCAGAGTCGATAACCACACCCGAAATCAAGCCTTGCGCATAGAGAGTAAGCACCGCCTGAATTGCAATATACGCCGAATCGAAGCCATACTTTTCGAACATCATCTGCAAAATTTTGTTTTGAGATCAGAACATGTATGAACGAAATAGAATATATTATTGTATATAGAATGCAGCAAAATGGGCTTACCTCAATCATCTTTTCTCTATTTTTTAGCGGATTCATGGGCGGTTCTGTCAAAAGTATTTTTGTATTCTTTGGATCAATATTCATTTTCTTCGGGCCGAATGTATAATCCCAAACGTGGCACATATCTTCCCAATTACGCACCACACCGTTCTCCATTGGATAGGACACCTCTAGAAGCGATCGCAGTTGTGAGGCTTCATCGCCCACCATTAGATCCTGTAGAATTTTTTTTTTGTGCGACACCAATAATAGAAGCATTTAGTAAACGAAGCATGCCATACGAAATACAAATTATTAAACGCATAACAAGTCAATTTGGGAAAATGCTGAAACAATATACAATCATTACATTTTAACTAAACTAATCTAAACCCCCGATTTTAGCTTCAGCTATATGCAACTGCAATTGTACAGGACCAGTTTTTCAATGCTAGTTTAACTCTGATCTTTTTCAATCTAAGTTTAATCTCACTGTGTAGTTTTCCAGTCAAATTTAAATGGGGTCAAGTGCCAAATCTGTCCGGGTTAAACGGGAATTAAACTATCAGCTGAACAAAATTAAAATTGTTTGCAATATAATTGTACGCGGATTCTTTCAAAGAAACTGATTATAGCGACATTGAAGTAAACGAGAGATGAAAATTGTTCACTGCCACCAATCATGGAGGACCAAGGTAACTGCATATGGCGTTTTGCGGGACAACATATGAAGCATTAGTAGTTTAAACTCGAATTAACGTAAAAACTTAGTTTAAGTAACTGGCGTTTAAATTAATTTTTAGCCAGAACTGAAAAACAGGCCCAAATGCCAACAAAGTATATGTACATATTTACATACAAATACACATTTTGATACATTGGGAGTAGGTATCTGAACGATTCCATTACTCCTGAAATACATACGTCTTAAATTCTCAAAATCTATAATTCTTCTTAAAAAAAATCGCTTTTAGATAAATTTGATACTACTATTATTTCTTTGCAGCGTTAAGTCATTTCGGTTTAAAGCGCTAACAGGAGAAATAGAAATCATACAATTAGCATGCGGAAATATTGTTAGTAATAGCAAATTTGTTAGTACAAAAACTCAAACTCCTTTGTACACCATCGAGTAGAAGTCGAATATCTCAAATAACACACGCATACATTCCTCACGCAGAAATTAAGAACAAAAACTATGCATAGGAAAAATAACAAACTTTAATTATCAGTAATCATTGTTGGACATTCAGAAAACAATAAATTATGCTTAGCCAAATAAGGCTACAAAGGCAAGGTATTCAAGTGAGTTAGTAGGTGCCACAGGCGTAAAAGATTGGGCCGAACATTTAAAAAATTCTAATTGAGCTATTTGTAAAGCGTTTGCTCTTGCATAAGCTTTTAATTTTTTTAGTAACTTTGAAGGCATTCTGAAAATACATTTTCTATAGGCATTCTAAATTGTAATAATACTAAGTTGTTCACAATTTAAATTTAATAGTGTCTAAAACTAGAGACTTACATCGACATGTAAATCCTGTAAAAATATGTATAAAAAAGGTAATGAAAAGAACAGAAAAATACGTAAGAATAGGCTTTTAATAAAAATGTAATCTTTTCTTAACTTTTAAGTAGTTTACTTATATACATATGTATAATAATAAAAAAGGCTAAAGCATTTTAACTAACCATATCTTTCAATAGGTTTCTAAAGTTTTCATCAACAGCTTGCTTAAGATTCGTACTTGGTTTTAATGTGCATAACAAAATGTTGATAAAAACAAGGCATCTCTACATTTATTGAAAACCTAAGCTATTGGAAAGAGAATTAAGCCAATTTTAATCTTACCTTAACTTCTATGTCGCCGATTTTATTAACAGCACGAATTATTGGCCTTCCAACCATGGAGGGGAATATGTGTGCGGGGAAATTGCTGCCGGCATAGCCGCATTTTACAAACTGCAAAAGAAGAAAGGCATTACAATTTGCTGTTTTCAAACTGAAAACGATTACAATATACAGAAATCTGCGCTGAAGTGGTTTTCTGTCCGAAAAATATTTATTAAATATATAGTGCATATCTTTACCTTAATTCACAAAGGCCCTAACCACCAATTTTTTTTTACAGAAGCAAAAAAACATAAAAATCAAATCATGCTTACGTACGGGGCGTTTTAAAAAGTGGCATACTGGTATGGTTTGGTGGTGTCGATTTTTAGTGAAGATATATTTTAATATATCCTACAAAAATCTATGAAAAACGTAGTTTCGAAAAGTGTTGGTTAAGGCCTTTGTGCATCTATCGCCAGCGGTAACTATCGAACCATTCAAAAGTAATCAAATCGAAAGAGTTAGATAATAACAAAAAAGATAAAGAAATAATCACAAGTATGTAGGTTGCTTTCCAGAACCACTAGGTCGTGACTAATGCAGCTTACATTTTGTTTGTAACTTCCATTTAAAACACTACATTAACAAATGTACGCACGTAGGTGGGCGCCAGTAATACACGCAATGTTGTTGAACCAAATAATGATGTGAATTCTTTGAAGAGCTAGGGTTCACATATATGGAAGATTTACCAACTTTACATATCTTTGTTTTTAAAGCCACAAGGTCATATCAGTAAACACACCTCCCACAATCGAGCTACGCAAAGTCACTGTTCAACCTAAGTGCAGTTCTTGTAATCTTGCAATTTTCAAATGTTGGCACACATTTGGCACAACAAGCGCCATGTAGGTGTGGTCAAGCCAGCAAAGTTTAATACATACACCGGTTCCATTATCGCACACGATAACATTGCGTCCCTTGCTATCCATTGTACCACTCGTTGGTAATGTTGACTTGGCCACCTACGTTCACTGCTCTCAATTCCTTCGTTTGCAGATTAAACGCCCTAATATATATTTTTGCTACAACTTTTCACGTTCTAACTCACAATAGATAGCGCAATAAAAATAATTAAAATTGTCAGCCGCAAATTCGTTGGACAATTGGAATTTCTTACAACTTTTTTGCGGCGATGACTAACGTCAAAAACCGTGGGGCCATTTCTGTTAAATCAAACAGCACTTATGGTGCAGTGTTGCCGTTTGTATTTTGTCGTATACCGATTTAAGTATGTTTACATACTTATGTAAACGCAATCCAAAGTCGTTTATTAATAACCCCGTTTACACCGGCAAATCTGAGATTATAAGCCGTCAAGTTTGTTGTGCTTGTTATTCTCACAACTTAAGGAAAAATTAAGCTTCTTATACTTCTTATACTTGGTTCACATATAACTAGATTATCCTAATTTTCCAGCTTAACTCCCTAATCTGTAATTATAAAAAGAGATTAGCCATACAAAATTCGTCCCTAGCTAATCTGTAACTATAAAATAATCTCGGATTTAACCGATAACTTTTCGGTGT